GACTACGTGGGAGTCCAGTGACATAGCCATTATGCCAACTGCTGGTTCTCTTGAATCTTGACATCAGTGAGCAGGTAGTAAGTAACCATCCCTGTGCTTTTCTCCCTTTGGTATGGAAAGGACTCGCCAGGACCAACAGGACAGGAGCAGTCTGGGACTGAGCTTCTAGAACTGGCTGATCGCAGGTTCAGAATGGGGGCAATGACCCTTTTCTTTGACCCCAAGGAATCAGGATGTTGCTTCTGTGGATTTTAGATTCCAGGTGCAGATACCTCTGGGTTGGTAGTTGGGATAGCCCTAGAAGTGCAGGGGGAAGTGTAGGGGGACACTGGACCAGGGCAGCAGGGGCAGGGACTGAGTCCCCTCAGTATCCTGAGCGCCATGGCTCACTTAGCACAATGCTTAGGGTGCCTGGATCCCACCAGCTGTGTGGTTCAAGTCCTGGACTCAACAGCTTGAAAAGCACTCTGGGCACATGTGCATGTACGCCCAGAAAGTCCAGAGAGAAGAAGGAGGCAAGGGATTGTGCAGTGCAGCGTCCCTAGAGGTGCTTTCTTACTTTCTCTCTCTCTCAGTGAGCATGCCTGTCTTAGATGACTTTAAAAAAAAAAATGTTAAAAAGCATAATTAGGGAAAATCTTGACTTGCAACCAACCACCAGCTTAGTCCTTTCTTAGCGAGGGCACGGCGCTCCCCTGGCTGTCTCACCGCGACGCCCTCTCACCGACCTGTTCTATCGTTCGTGTCTCACGCCACCAGGGAGCCTGGCACTGTCCTCTTCCTTTCCTCCAGGCTTGTTCTTTTCTGGTATTTTCTCCTACAGCAGTTTTCTAAGATCAGTCTGTGTGCTAGAAGGTGGCGTAGCAGTAAAACCTCACTCTGCAGAGCTGACTCCCACGGGGAGCCGAGGTCTGCGTCCAGAGACATCCCTAAGCACCTGGGGTACAGGCGTGCCCACAGTCAAGGGCCTGCTGTGGCCGGGTGACTTGTGGCGAGGACACTGTTGGGAGTGCCTATCTCTCTGACTGTTTATAAATAAATGCACTTACAAAAATCATGTAAATCTGGTTGTGGCTGGGTCATGCCTAAAGCCTTTCTAGGACTCTCACCCGCCTTAGTGTGGTTTTCCGTCAGGGTGCCCTGGCCCCACATCCCCACTGGACTCTGAGCGTCTCGAGCCCTGCCTCTGACCTCCCTTCTGCCCCTAC